AGGCCGAATGTGAGGGGTTTTATAAAGGGGGGGGGGGGGTTAATTCTTGTGTCTACAGTGTGTGGTTACACTACCTCTTAGCTTCCAAAACTCTTCCTGAAAAAAGCCTTGAGACTTCTAGGGGGGAAAAGGTGCTGGTGAGCAGGGGCATGCAGGGTTGCTGGGAAGAGGTCAGAGCTTTAGACTTAAATTGCTGTGGAACTTAACTCTTACTTCCAGAAAGGCTTGTAATATCACTCATGAGCAAGCTGATGACTTTTGTTTCACTTCCTATGGAATTTACAGACTTGTGTTAAGGTAATTTTACTTTATAAGAACTTCAGTATTTGACCTACCAAGTACTTTTTGTTCTGTAATGAACAGCTGGGAGAACCCCTTGAGAACAGGAGGTCTGTGTAGACTATGTTGGTGTTTCAGCTGTAAGTGAAATAGATAGGAGAGTTAACTGTGAACTTGTGCAGCAGATCACTGATTTAGTACCTTTTAATTCTCTCCCACAGAACTGCTTATGTAAAAATGCATCTAGTTAAGAATGAACACCAGAGAAGTGCTGTGGCAGACATGGGCTTCATGTCACCTTGGCTTCCTGTTTAAAAAACAGTAGGCTGGCAATTTTAAAGGGACAGTGACAAAAGTGATGACCAGGTGCCAAGTGCCAGCTGTTCTTATTCACCAGATTGAACAAGAATTGGATAAAGAAGAAGAAGAGATGATGGTTTTCCTATGCCGAGACCTTGCTCCTGACTTGGCCACTGCCGACCTTAGAGAGCTCTTGGTGGCTCTGAATGAGAGGGAGAAATTGTCTTTTCTTGGCTTGTCTGAGCTGTTGTACAGAGTTAAGAGGTTTGACTTGCTGAGGAGGATCTTGAAGACTGAGAAAGCAACAGTGGAAGCTGACCTTGCCAGGAGTCTCAGACTTGTCCCTGATTACAGGTAATATATCCATTTCAGGTTTCATGGCTACTCTGTTTTGTTCAAAACATGTAAGAGTTGGTTTTGGTTGTTTGGTGTTTTTTTGGGGGGGGTGGGTGGTTGTTTTTTGTTTCTTTTTAAATATGTCTTGAAGGTAAAAGAAAAGCAGAAAAAAGCGTCATATCTAGAGTTACAGTGAAAAGAATATGTCAAGTTTAGTCCCTAAAATAAGCCTTAGTAGCTTCTTACAAGTCATGGCATTAGAAGTGTCTTATCTTCCAGGAGTTTGTGTATGTTAATAAAACCAGTGATGTTTGTACAGTTCTAGATTAACGATAGAAATGACACTTTAGAGTACCATCATTAATTACAGATACTTTCTTTTATAGTTTGCTTTGGGCACATAGCCTTGTGGTATAGCTTTTGTCAGGAGACCTGTCTCTAACTACTTTTTACTCTGTAGTTTTAAGACGCTTAGATTAAGAAGCTCCAGTTATTTTCTTTGAGAGACTTTATAAAAAAAATGTATGTACTCATAAGAAGATTTTCCTGTGTTAACTTCTCACTGAAATAAAAACCCTGTAACTACTAGGTAAAAATGTTAAAGATGTCTTCTGTTGGCTCATTGTCTTACTTATCTCTATTGAAATATTAAGGAGACTTCTGTTTCCCTAGCAGTGGGTATTACACAGTCAGTCTGAGTAACACAGGTGCTGATGAGCAGGAGTAGGTATTTTGTAATTGGGTCTTGGAACAGGGTAGGCTTTTTTTGTGTTGTTTAATTGGGAATGGTACATTAAAACTGGAACAATGGGAGAAGTTGGGCAGTTGGGCAGGGGTGGTATCTTGCTGAAAGCTAATCCTTTAGAAATGTCTCAACTTTATTTCAGGGTACTAATGGTAGAGCTTAATGAGAATCTGGAAAAAGAAGAAGTGAGTTCTCTTGGTTTTCTACTCAGAGATTATGCACCTCGTATGAAAATGGCAAAAGATAAGGTAATGTCTTTCTGCTGGTCATCTCTGGAGCAATGAGAGATTAAAGTAAAAAGGAAGTAGCTAGACAGCAAAGGAGGGGAGGCAGTACTGCAAGGGGTAGTGAGGCAGGAGTAGACAGAAGTCAGGAAGTGGAGAAGGAGTAGTGGCTTCTATTTGATTTTTTTTTTTAATTCAAGGAAAGAAGCATGAGAAACAGTAGGAGGGAACAGTGAAGTCTTGCTGTACTGAATGGTGTTAGCGTGAACCTCACAGGCAGAAGCCATTAAGAAAAAAATCTTTCTTCAGTATTGCTGATCTGAAAGTTCATATATGAAGGATCTCGAATCAATAATAATATGAAATGTATATTGAATTACAGGGTCACTTTTTATGTTTCTGCTGTACTTCACTTACAAAAGAACAGCTTTATCTCAATTATGTCTTTCTCTGTACATTTGAATTGTGCATATTTGTTTTAAATGCTCTGGGAAAGCAGAGATTCATTAGAGACTTCAGAAAACTTGATCACTATGCATAGAAGACTGAAGATTTCTGTCTTCTTCCATTAATTTCTTTTTCTTTTTCCCTTTAACCAAAGGAGAGGGGCCCTGCAAATTCCCCAGAGCTTTTCTTGCCTCTTGCTTTGTTGCATGTGAGGTGACATTTCAAGTGTCTGGCCTAGTAGCAACAAGGAAGTGCAAAACTGCTTCCTCAAAAACTTTCATTTGTTTTTAAGAATATCATTTCCTAGTTTTAATTACTCCTATGATAATACCAAGAATTGTTATATCTTTTGGATCTTTTTTTTTAGTATTTCAGAAAGCAATGTCCCTAATCTTGAATATACGGGTTATTTTATGGGTTGCTTTGTTACTTACTGATAAAGAATAAGTTGCTGATATGACAGTTTGGTTTTCTGTTGCTGTTCTAGAGTTTTCTAGCTCTTGTGATTGACCTGGAGAAACTAAATTTGGTGGCTCCTAATCAACTGGATTTGATAGAAAATTGTTTTCGAAATATTCACAGGATAGACCTGATTAGGAAGATTCAGAAGTACAAACACGAAGGTAAGAGGCTATTTTTGCACTGGTCGGCCTTGATAGCAAGGATCAGATGTGCTCTTACTGAAGATAAAATTATGAGTTACAAGTCAGAGTATTTGCATGCTTCACAGATTTAGGCTTTTAAAACAGTTGATATATCATGGTGTGTCTCTGTTAAATTTTCAGCTTTAATGTCCTCCGTTCATTCTCAGCCAGTATATGTAAATGCACTTCAGGCATCTCTCCCTAATCTCAGTCTGATTGATCCTCCTTATAATTCAGGGGTAAGTATACAATAAATCAGACAGATCCTTTATTTCTAAATATTGCCAGACATTGAAAGGGGATTAATCTTTGCAGAGCCCAAAGAATGAAAAATTGCTAATAACTAAAATATTACTTGGTTTATTTCTCTTATTCCTGTTATTTGCTGGGTTTAGGGTCTGATTTAAATCTTCTGACTGAGAAAGATCCCCTTTAAAGAGCTTCTGTGATTTTATTTTTTTCCCCCTATTAGTTGGGCATATAAAAATCTGTATCTTGAAAGTTTTTTCTACTATTCTGGGGAGTGAAAAGTTTTGCTTTGACTGTTCTTTGCAAAACATACTATTCTTCTTTGTACTTATCGACTTTGCAGAGAAAGTAGCTTTTTAACTTCGGAAGCTGAAGGTTATGGCCTTTCAGGGTTTTTTTGTGTTCTGTTTTAAACTCATTTTAACCAAGATATCTCAGTATGTCAAGTCATCAAATCCTGTTGTATGCAGTATTCTTTATATTTGGGTTAGGTCTGATATTGTAATAGTATGACCTCAATTACAGTCTTTAGCCTTGCTAAATGAATTTCACACTATTGCTGTCATGTATTCAGTAAATATGTATGTATAAAGCTTACATACAAGACACCAGAGATGCAATTTGTCTTTACTAACAAAGCCACAGCAGCTTTGTTTTCCAGACTACTAATGGGAAGGAGTTTGCATTGACTTTCCATATTATGATAATATTGCTACAATTTCCTTTCTAATTCAGTGAAAGATCCTCTCTCCTGCTCTATAAGAAACAAAATTTACATCTTCAGAGTTTTTTTGATTTGTAAAATCCCTATTTTAGGGATTAAGCTTTTCTTTGCTGTTTATGGCAAATTGGTAATTTTTTTCTGAGGGCAAGTGTTTTAGGGTTGTTTTTTGTTTATGATTTTGGTAGGGGTTTTTTACTTGCTATTTTGTAATTCTGATTAACCAATAGATGTGAATTAAAAAACGTAATCCTTTTTTTGAGGAAGAAAAATAATGTTTTGTTATATTTTTGATCACATGATTATTAACTCTTGAAGGAAAGAGGGAAAATACACCTTTTTCTTCATTTTAGATCCAGAATATGAACAAAGGAAAACCACAAAATGGACAAGGTCTTATTCTAGGTAAGAGCATTTTATCTGAGTTTTGATAATCTTGGAGCCAAATGATGCATTTCACTGTATCAGAAGAACGGTTGTTTGATACTTGTGTTTATGTCTAATCCAGTTGATATCACCAGGAGCACAGAGTATTTGGTACCTCTGAAAACTGAGCTTTGCCTTATTGTCTGCTCTTGTATTTGCTTTGCTTGTGCCACCAGACTTCAAAACTTCAGTAAAATTGTTTTGGGCTTCCACTGTCACAATGTTTTAACACAATAAATAGCTTATTAATAAAATCATGGAATAGGTTGACTAGCCAGCTCTGGAAGGCCATGTAGTACAGCTGTGTCCATTAAGTGTTGAGTAGGAAGTTTTTTTGTCAGTTCAGTGGTGAGCTCTCCACCAGGCCAGCCAGGAAGTTGTCCAGTGAATACCAGGTTCTTACCAAGTGTGTTGTGTTCTTTCTGGAAACCCAAAATAATTCTCAGATACGGTGATTTTGAACAGAGTGGTTGGCTGAATTCTCTTAGTGTAGGAGCAGTTGGTTGTTTAATCTAGTCACAAGCAATGTAGAATGCAATCTAAATAACATTTTAGAGGTTAATTTTTTTTTTTAACTTCAGTAGCATACATAGAAACTTAAGAGGTCTAGATGAGTGAGAACTTGGCTGAACTAGATAGGTTCCTCTTTAACTGATTTGGTGCCAAAGAAATGTCACTGGTACGTACATGCTAAGATTACTTCTTTGTGTTTTAACTGCAACAGAACCAGTCCACATGTCCATTCAGGAATCGGGACCAGCGTCACATAAGGTATGTGCTTGTGCATACGTATGCATATAAATATAACAAAGAAAACTAAGGTAAATACCTTAATGTTTTTGTGTTTCATTTTGATATTTCCTTTAATTGCGTGAAAACAGAAGGATGTGTACATCCATATCCTCCTCAGCCATAAACAGGTTATATATTCTGCAAAAGCAGTTCATAGTTTTAATATAAAATGGAAGCAGCAGTGTGCAAAATACATGGAGATATGATGCACGCACAGAACTTGCACATTTATTGGTGGAGGCGAAGTCAAAATCTGTTGGAAGTCAGACCACTTACCATCTGCATTGGAAATGGAAGGGCTTCTTTGCATGCAGTAAATTTTGTTCTTTATTCGCTCCCCATCCCTTGCTCTCCAGGTAGAAGACAGACATGCTTTGAGTATTAACGATAAGAATGGACTATTGCTGTTTTCACTAGCTCTCCTGTAGGCCAGGAGCCAGGGAGTTACCTATAGCAAATTGATAGTAGTCTTTTTAAAGGGGAGAGGAATTGTGATAGTCATTACAGATTATATAGGAACAAGGAGGTTGTTCCACTAAATAAAGAAATAAATGCGGTTCTGATGAGCAATGCCTGTTTGCATACCTGAAGAAAACAAAAATTCTCTACATTTATTGTGTTGACAATATGAAGCTTATAGCTCCTAACATCTCAATAGAAGTTACACTTAAGGAAATTAATTTGGAAGTACTATAGAAGGATCATTGCTGTCATAGTCCAGGTCTTTATAAAGCCCCTCCTCCTATACAGGTTTGTGACTTTTTTGTTTAATTTTTGTTTGTTTGGGTTGGTTTTTTTTTTTTACTTTTGAGGATCTGTCCAGAGTTAAGGTTCAGTCTCAAACTTGTTTCTCTCATTGCTGGTACAGTCTTAGTCTTTGTTTAAGGATAATCATGGTAGTAAGGTTACATAACACAAGGATGCAAAAAATTATAAGCCTGTACTAGAAATAGGTGGAAAAAAAATGATTAGTCCATGTCTCATGATTTTTTGTTTTTGTTGTAGATAAGACATGCTACATCCCAGTAGATAGGTTTCTGCTAGCCACTCTATGGAAAAACAACAGAATGTAATTAAATAGATCTGAGGTGGTTAAATTTGAGAAAGGAATCACATCTGTAAGTTGAGAAAGTGGCATGTTAACTTAGTATTTGTCCCTCGTGTTCCTCAGGTGTTTGATGATCAGTACAGAATGCAAAGTCGACCTTTAGGAATATGCCTGATAATAGACTGCATTGGCAATGACACAGGTAAGTCTCTGGAATTCGAAGTTCCTTATCTTGTTAATCTTGGATAATTAAAACAATTTAGTGTAAAGAATATGATGTACATTCACCAGCCAGGCTAGGGTAATACTGCCCTAGTCAGTCCTGCCAATTCTAATAAGTTTTCTAAAGCAGAGTTGGAGGGCCCAACCTGAGGTTAAAGCCAACTGTCGTAACTATTGCAAACAGTGTTTGTTTGTTTGCACATAATCTCTGAATGAAAGAACTTACAAAGGGATAGACTGAATTTTGGGAGGGAAAAAAAGGGATCTTCGGAGACCAACGGAATAGTTAAGCTACTGTCATACAACAGATTATTGGTAAAGATAGTATTTCCCAACAGTTAACAAAACCGAAACCAAAGCTGTTGCAGATTTGAAATGTGGATATATTGGATACCAGAGATTTTGAATAGCTGAAGGCATGTGGTCCTTTATTAATAATGCACCTAGACTTCTGTTACATCTTGCACAGTTTAACTGAAACCATCACCATAGCTTTATAGGGAAAGGAATTCTTCTTCCTTCCATATTGGTTTAGTTAAAAAAAAACCAACCCAAACTAAAAAACAACCAACCAGCCAAAAAAAAAAAACCCACCCCAAAATCCAACACAGTTTGCACATAGAATTCAAGGTAGTCAGTGCCACGGTTAAAATGTGGGATTTTCCTGATAGCCTTTGTAGAATCTGAAAATTAGGTTCTTGCAGAAGCAAAAAAACCCACCACTCTCTAATCACTGGAACATATGAGGCTAAAAATAAAAATGAAGAGAGTAGTTGCAGTCAGTTCTGTAATAGGCTAGGAGATGTAGGGGAAGAAGGCGGTTTGTGGGCATATCTTTCATCTTTTGCATAACTAATGGTCCAGCAGATGGACCAACTTAGAGTTATTGATGTAGTTGTTGAAGAGCAGTGGATGCAGAGTCCTCTGTAAAAAAAGAGTACTTTTTTACAAAAAGAAAAATTTTGATGTTCGTTTCACAATAGTATTTTAGGTAAACGATATAAAATTATAAGACATTTAGTTTGCCATTAGGGTAACAGGAACTAGAACTGAAAAATAATTCTGCCATGCATGGAGAAGAGTGACAAGGAAGGCACTTGACACAGTTACATGCAACTGGGAAGCATCCTTGGGATCTCATTTTGGTCTGTCCTACGAAGTTCATCAATGACGTCTGGCCTAAGGAAAATAACTTTAAAAAAAAAAAAAAAAACCACCACAAAAAACCCACACCCCAACAACAAGGATGCAGTTGCTGGATGTAGAGATTAAATTGTTCAATCTAAAGCACTTTTTCGCTTCTATTTTGTGGGGGGGGGAGAATGCTGACTTTGCCCCAAGAGGAAAACAAAACAAAGACAGCCTGCCAAGGACTGAAAGACTGACTCTTGGGATCAAGCATTCTGCTCTGTTCTGTTGTCTGCTTTGCTTTCCTGTTCTTACGTTTTTTCATGGTAGCTTTAGAGAACAAACGACCCTTTTAATCCAAGAAACTTACTATGCAGCCTTAATCTGGAAGGTAGCATGATTATCTGCTCCAGTACCAATATAATTACTTGGAGTTCTGTTTCTTAAAAGCAAATGCAAAAAGGATTGCTAGAGAAATTTCAGTGTGGAGATCTAAAGAAAACATGAGGTGTGAAAATAGCGTTCTTTACAAAAAAACCCCACCCACTTAAAATTTCATTGTCTCTAATGGGATATGAGCATGTGCTGATCTGATTTCTTGAACAAGAGTGTTTTGCTGTGCCAGATCTGAGCTTTTTAAATGAAACAGTAAATATAAAAGCAGGTAAGGCACATACAGTGGAGAAAATGGGAAGTAAAGAAGGAACTGCTATGTCAGCTCATAGTCAGAGATACATAAATTTTGACCTACTCTTCCTTAGAAGGCAGAGGTCATTTGCACAGGCAATATGCTGTGCAGGCCCCTTTCTCATAGTAACTGCTACTAAATACAAAGATAAGCACAAAAGAAAAAAAGAAATCAATGCATGTGGTCTTCATGACCTCATATAGTCATTTTAGTACTTGTTCAAGAACAGAAAGTGTAAATGTGATAGAGGAAGTCTGCTGACTAGAAAGGACAAAAATAGAATCATAGAATCTTTGGGTTGGAAGGGACCTTTAAAGGCCATCTAGTCCAACCCCCTTGCAGTAAACAGGAACATCATCAACTAGATCAGGTAGCTCAGAGCCTCATCCAACCTGACCTTCTATGTTTCCAGGGATGGGACATCTACCACCTCTCTGGGCAACCTGTTCTAGTGTTTCACCACCTTCATAATGAAAAATTTCTTCCTTATATCTAGTCTAAATCTACCCTCTTTTAGTTTAAAACCATTACCCCTTGTTCTATTGCAACAGGCCCTGCTGAACAGTCTGTCCCCATCTTTCTTATAGGCCCCCTAAAATAGATTACGTGTTTAGCATCTGGCATGTCAGATACACCTGCAGATCATGGCTGTGATGCTGTTGTGCCAAAACCAACCAAAGCAAGTCTTAGTGTGCCTCAGTCTTAATGCATGTCTGCATTGGATGCGGAAGCAATTACATCATGTATATTTCTTAGATGTTTAATGTCACCAGTGCATTATCAGCATTTTAACATGATAGAAAGCAAGACTTTCACTGAAATACATTACTGTGCTAGTGAGATTCAGGAAAGGCAGGAAATACAGCATTGTTTAAAGGAGTTTATTAGAAAGGCATTCATTACTCTATAGAGTTGTTGTGCCACGCTACTTCTGAAGTCTGAAAATACCAAAGAGAAGATGGCAGGGAGAACATTAGGGTTTGTATCTGTGGCGTGCATTAGAGTCTGTAGCTATCTCAAGATTTACTCTGAGGAAGATGAACAAATAATAGATACTGTAGGATCAAGGATTACAACAATTGAAAATGACCAGTGTAAACAATGTGGATTCATCAGATGCTGCTAAAATTCAAACTGAAATGCACCTTGCTGTTTTGTAAATAGTCTCGCTGTTTTGGCAACAGCTGCTTTTGACTTTTCCATTTGGAAGCCAATCCTTACCATTGTAAACAATCAAGAGGAGAAAAGGGTAATTTTTTATGTAGAGTGGAAATGCTCTAAAGTCAGTGGAGGTTTTGTTGGGAGATGATTACTGTTGAAGAAACAGATGTTTTCTGATCTCAGGTTGCAGCATATAATGCTGTGTTTTGTCTTGCCTGAAAGTAAAATTGCTATATCCAAAGCTTACCATGTATAATTTATGATTCATTATTAACTAAGGTATCAGCTCTAAGTTTGGGTTTAATTTTTTTTAATGGTGACACTTAGAGCGTGTGTATGGTCTAAGATGATGACGTTTTGTATCTTTGCGTGTATGTGTACGTGCCACTGAGATAAGTAAAGTCAGTGGAGGTTTTGTTGGGAGATGATTACTGTTGAAGAAACAGATGTTTTCTGATCTCAGGTTGCAGCATATAATGCTGTGTTTTGTCTTGCCTGAAAGTAAAATTGCTATATCCAAAGCTTACCATGTATAATTTATGATTCATTATTAACTAAGGTATCAGCTCTAAGTTTGGGTTTAATTTTTTTTAATGGTGACACTTAGAGCGTGTGTATGGTCTAAGATGATGACAAGTTTTGTATCTTTGCATGTATGTGTACGTGCCACCGAGATAAGTAAATTATAGGAAAAGAGCACTCGTTGCTCAAACTGTCGTTTTGCTTATGTACTGCTGCCCTCTAATGGACGAAGTGCTTCATCGAGTATGTAACTTGCTAAACGATATTGATACTGAGTCTTCCACCTGAATTTGGAGAGCAGGTTTTATTGGCTGAAATAGAGAGGATTTTCCTTTCCATTTCCAATTAAAAGTCTGTAAAGTTTAATTTAATCAAACCAACACAACTGGAATGAAACTCTATAGTTCCTGTTTACCACCTTGCTATACTATAGACTTTGTATCAGCCCTGTATTTTTGCTGAGTCCTTGGAACTTGGGATGCTGGTTCTAAACAAAAGCACGCAAGTGTGTGGAATTTGGAACAGATCGTGTTCCAAGAAACAGTGTCTTTGCTATCATGAAGTACATAACTCAGAGACAACATGCATATAGCAGTATAAGTATGTAATGTACTGTGATGAACATGAAGTATGCCTGATTTTTTTAATTACTGTCTTATTTCCAATAGTGAAATACTGTAAATACTGTAATTCGAGATAGCTGAGATTGAGCCTTGATGTGCTGTGATTTAATTACATCTTGCTTTTTTCAGATATGTTGGAAGAGACCTTCAGAGGCTTAGGCTATGATGTTTGTTGTCACAGATATTTAAATATGAACACCATGAATCAAACATTGCTTGAAGTTGCAAGGTTGCAGAAGCACAGAAATTGTGACAGCTTCATTTGTATATTGATCAGCCGTGGCAGCCCTCAGAGCATCTTCTGTACAGACCATACCTTTTCTGGATTCCCTTTGGAACAAATAAAGAAATACTTCACAGCAGACTCATGTCCTGGACTCCTAGGAAAACCAAAGCTTTTTTTTATTCAGAGCTACATTGTGCCAGAAAATGAGAATGAATGTACTAGTCTGTTGGAAGTAGATGGGAATGATGAGAAAATCACCGGTAATGCAAATAACCCTTGGAAAGTCACTATCCCCCAAGTAGCAGACATCTTTTGGAGTCAGTGCAAAGTGGATGTGTCTACACTAGAAAAATCTCCAAGTTCATCCTCCTATTATCTGCGTTGTCTGACTGAGCTACTCCGCAATCCTTATAAAAGGTAAATTTAAAAAAGAGGAAAAAATTACCCTTTTCCTATGATAGCCTGCTGTCCTAGAGAAAGAGAAACCTTAAGTTTCATCCCATCTGGTCCTGAAAAGTGTCTTCATGCTGTGCCATAGGTTAAAAGACAAGTATACCTGATCCTGGAACGATGGCACAGGAAGGTAGCCTAAAGTAGGAGTGAAGTTTCTAATTCTGGAGAGTAAAACTAAAGTGTGTCATGGCACTGGGGCTTGCAGAGAGGGGAAGTAATGTAGTGGGTAGTGTATGTCAGTGCTTTAGACAAGACTGGAGATCTTCCTTCTCCAAGTTACAAGGCATACACCAGGCTTCAGTCAAATTGAGGAAGGGCTCTGCTTGCAAAGATAAAATCAGTGCCTAAGTTCAGAGAAAAGGCAGTTGAGAGGGAAGGATTTTGTCATTTCTTTACATCTAATTAACCCTCCACTTGGGGAGCCACTAGATTGCCAATTTGTAATCTTGAATTTAAACTATCAGAAAACTTTAGTTTATCTAAAGAGATTATCAAAAGAATCTGAGCAAAAATCAGATATCTTTGGATATATAACTTGCCAACAAAGGTTTTCTTTGCACAACTGATTTACCCCAGAGCTAGCAACTGTTTTTCAAGGTAGTTGTGTGGCTAACATTTAGTACCTTTTTACAAACCCTAAAACTTTGTAGTGAAATCACAGATCATCATGTTGGCATAACCAGTAACACAGCAGTGATTTGGGTTATAACAGATTGTCTCAAAAATGCATATTCAGCCTTGGATATTAGAGGTGTAACCTCTGCAATAACGACTGAAATTTGCAACTTTCTCCTTTTTGAGTCTAAAGTTGTCTTCTCTCTTGTGGATTCTTAAATGGTGTGTTGCTTCATTCTCTAATAGAAAGCTTTTACTTTTATTGCTGCAGGAAACTCTCTATATTAGATATCCATACGGAACTGAACAGAAGAGTCTATGAATGGAATAAGACCACTGACCCAAGCCAACAATACTCACTTCTGCTCCAGCACACACTGAGGAAGAAACTTTTTCTTTCTCCAACTTAGCAGCTGTTGGAAAGGACATGTCTGAAGTGGCTAATGAGAAACACTTACTATGATCAGTTTCACACATACTTTTACTTTATGCATTGTTATTGCAGGTATATCTAAAGTGCCTATTGCTTCCAAACCCAGAGATTTAGAGGCATTTTCGTGTGTTCAAGGCACCAGATTTTATATTTTAATACAAAAGGCTCTAAAAGCTTGGATGAGAATGGAAGCATCGTATAGCACTGCAACAGATCTTACAACCACATACAACAGGTAAACAGGGTGGAAGGAGCTCTAAACTGTATAGCTGTTGGGCTTTTCCAGGGCTTTGTGGTTTTATTGTTTCATTGGCTGCTTTTAGCATACCTATTAACAGCGCGCTGATCGAGGTTCTTCTGTTGATGCTTAAAACAAATACAAGCCACAGCAAACCACTGAAATTAATGGGGTACTTTCCCCAGCACCTAATAATGGAAAATGTGTCAGGAAAGAATGCCCTACCCAGCAATGCCAGTTCTTTATTAACAAGTTCTGTCTTGCATTCCTCCACAGACTAGCAAAACAGGAGGAGGAGAGAGAGGGTCTTCTAAATAATTTGGATTCCCTCTGCCTGCTGCATTAGAGGTTGTGATTCACCCAGAACCCTGTATCATCAGTATTGTCCACAGCACACAAGGTCTATATGTTAATAAATGAGACAGTCTGCCATGTTTTGGGCTGTTTTCTGCCGAAGCAAAAATGAGTCTACGTGTGGCAGGGCTTTACAGTAATCTACCATACAGTTAAAAAAATGTGGGATTTTGGCAGATGTTTTGTAGAAGCTGAAACATGATTCACACTTGTACCAGGCATAGTTCTAGAAGTACACTTAGTCATATTTGAACCTAAATATCATGCAGCAGCCACTGGCTCTTAAAGAGTGAATTAAATTAAACACCCCACCATCACTGCTTTTGCTTATGAAAAAGGGTATGTCTATTAATGGATTATTTTTTTTTTCAAGTTGCCCTTGTTCTTCTGAAAAAAGACATGAGTGAAAATTGTCCTAAATACAGAACTTTTTCTCCAGTAGCAGATGCCTAACATGAAGAATTCAGTTAACCTGCAACAGTGTAACTTGGATGAGTTGTATTGAAATTTGTCACTGAACTTACAGCATTCTCTTCCCTCCTAAAGTAGGCCACTTTCAAACTTTCCATACTTCTAATACACTCCACTGGCCAGGAAAGAAATTCAAGGCCTTGGTGTGCCTTGCTTGGTTTCTGGTGTAGTTACACCATACATCCTTCTGGCATGTGTTTCATGCAAGCAGAAAGGAAAGGGGTTTATGCTAGTACAGGTTGTTGTGCTAATTCCTTGAGCAAATACACTGCAAAAAGGTTTTTTTGCTACTGTAGCTGCATTTGATCTGAGCAAAAAGCAGGTGTGCTTGCATATATAACTTCACCAACAATGCTTTTCATTGTAGGCCGAGTCTAACAGGGAGCTAGCCTATTGATACTATACACTGTATACTATCAGTATACATTAGTATATTGATAATAAATAGGAGGGCTTGGCCAGTAAATTTGCTCTGGTAGCAGTGACTTTTTTATTCCTCAGTGTTATGTTGTACTACTTAAGTGTTGACTTGAGATAATGTTTATTAACTTTTTTTAAACCAGGCTTCTTAAGTTTCATTCAGAAAAAAACATACAAGTTTTGAAGTAGATTCTATAACTGAAAGTAGAAATCGCTTTCATTTGGCAAAGATGAGATTTTGAAGTCTAAAAAGAGCTCAGGAGTCCTTCCTTGTTACATGATGTAGACCCAGACTCTTCCTGGCTTAAGAGGTTCCTAAACTGCTGATTGATGAGGATTGTTAAGACTATATCAAGAGTAGAAACCCACTGAACAAGTTTTGCCTTATAGTCTGTATCCATATAAAATGTTAAGATTAAAATATATATTTATTTATATTAATATATCTTTTTAATATATAAAGTACATTTTATATCAGCATGATTAAATCTTCACTCGTTATCTTTTTTTACTTTTGTATTCAGTTTTATTTGCATGTTATCTCTAGAGTTACATACACAGTTGTGATGAGAAGAAATTTTTGCATAATTTAGAAAAATAATTCACCTGTATTGCACACCTATGCATTCCATACATACTCTTTCCACTTCATAAGCTATAGTGTCATCTTTAAAAAAAGTATATGGAAACTTCTTAATAGCTTTGAATTGGGAAATGCAACCCAAAATTTTATGTTAAACTCTGGATACATGTGTTATTTGTGTTACTGTAATTTTATGTAGGCACAAGCATAGGAGAAAAATAGAAGATAATATTTTGCAAAATTCAGACATTCTCTAGAAGCTTGTCTGAGCATTAAAGTAAAAATACTAAAATCAATTTAATGATATTGTATATGTGGAAATAAATGCATCATAGTGGGCAGGGAGAGGGGTCAGGTCTACCTTTCAGTTTACTGTTTTCTTGAAAGGGCCTATTGAACTGGTCCTGTTCTTAAACTAGTGCCATATTGCTTCTGGCTATAAAAATACGTTGTGTCTTAAAGTTACATTCATACCTATTGCACACAGTCAAGTAGAGAACTTAGTGCATTGCATCAACGGAAGGGTCTGGATTATATGTGATAGGTAATAAAAATAGCATTCATTTCTAACCCTGAATATTTAATAACTGTCTTAAAATAAAGCACGAATGTAATTTTGAAACCCTACCTTGCTCATGTTTCATGGAGTAAGAGAAAGATTCTAAAATGACAGATTCGGGATCTTGGAAGTTATTTCCTGTAGTGACTGGTAAATGAAATAAATATTGAAACAAATACATTTTCTGTGGCTGTAGAAATCAGATGTGATTCCTAGTTACCATATGTATCTATGTGATGTTAATAAATGCAATTTCTGTCACAAACTAACTTCACTTTTTCCCCATTTCCCTTACTAGCTTTTGCATGTGATGAGTACTTCTGATGCCTTATAGACAACCAAAAGCAGGGAGAATGGAACCCAGAGGAGGCAGAGAGATGAGGGAAAGAAATACGGAAATTTCAAGCAGGAGCAAGAAGGGGAATGGTAGGGAGAACCGAGAGAAGAACAAATAGGGAAAAGAAGATTTGGAGGAGAAATACAACATCAATATTGGAAGGAGAAGAAACAGGAGAAAAGGGAGAAAGGAAGTAAGAATAATAGTGGCTATCCTTACAGGATCTAACGTGGTGGGTTTTTGTGGGTTGATTGGTTTGGGTTTTTTTTGAGTGATGCTAAATACAACTATTTACTTAAAATATTAGCAATAGAATGTATCCTGTTTGATAGTTTTGTGACAATGTAGGTTTGGGCATTATGAAGTGTGCATGTTTTTCACCTTAGTGCATGACACAGTAAGTAAAGTCCGTGTCCCCTTCCTTAAGAAATGATGAAGAAACACTGTTCTGAAAACTGTAGAGGCTCCTGTAAATAAACCTTGCCGTAAAAAAGGGAGTCTCTTTGTGTCTGGCTGCTTGGGTCCGAAGTGATCACAGCCCTATAATGACCAAAGAATTTTGTGGACATGTCATGTATTGTGCAACATTCATGGATGTCAGATGCTGATTTTCTACACTGATGTCTTGACCCTCAGTAGATTCTTAAACTATAGCAGTACTCATTCTGTAATCATTCATCTAAGCAGTTTTATTGCCTTGACACCTCTTCCAAGACTCGTGTTTGGGTAGGTTGATTCCCTCTATTCATTGCAGAGTGAAAAGTAGCACTGAAGTCAGTATTTATTCATGTGCAGGAATATTGTGATGCCAGTTGTCTGTCACTTCTCCCACAGCTTTTTGTGTCCCTCCGTACACGTGATAGGAACTGTCTGTTCTTGCTGTAGTGTGCATCTAAAATTTGAGTCTGGAAAGTGACTGGCTGCAGGGTGTGGGTTGCATCAAGTTGTACATGTATTGCAGCTAGAGTGGTTGGCTGATACCAAACTTCCATTCAGTAGTCAAAAGAAAAGGGGGAAAATTATTAATTCTGGATACATCATGAGTTTAGGGTGTTAGCACAGGAACATAAAAAGTGATGTGCTGGTGAAATTTTGTGGTCACAGACTGTCAAAATGTCTAGTTTTCAGAACCTGCTGTTGAACAAGATAAAGCAAGCCACTCCCTTCTGATAACCGAAGTAGAAATTTTTGTACTTCTGTGTGTGCTGTATATATGGAAGAGGGAAAAGAGAATTGGCAGAATATAGATGATTCCTATCAGTGGCTCAGAAGATGTACCCATGAGGCAGGAGATTCTGTGGTGTTTTGCACCAGACTTAAGTTGCACGATTTTTCTCAGCCAGCTACATTGACATGACTAAGCCATAAATCCAGTTTACTTTGTACTGTTATATACTTGGGTCTTAGAATTGTTGCCAACTCATTATCCAGAAAAGAAGTTATGTTCAAGACGAAGTGATGGTGATAACAGTTGTAGGTGGAGCATGCTGTATGTCTGAAGTAACAGTGACTCCTGTTAGAGATACCTGAGTCAGAGAAGCTTATGGCAGTTTCTGAGAATTCTTTTCAGATATCCAGAGCTTTACATTTCTGACATCAGGATGATGTTGCTGAGAAGAAGCTGCCATCTGTGTGGATGATCTGCTGTGTATCTGACTAAGTTCCATTTAACCTGTATCTCCTGTACTGAATTATTTGACAGCTTTTCTGTGGCTGTTCTGGAGAATGTCCTTTTCAGCTTCTGTATTAGAATCAATAAGACATGGCAAGTCTTTCAGGAATGCTGATTTTGTGGATTGTGCCTTTCTGTATATGCCGTATTTAAAATTTATGTTACTCTGAGTATATTTTCAGTGTTTTGTAGAAACATCATAAGAAATGTGATTTGAATCGGTGCCAATACTAAAATTGCATCATGATTTAGCAAAATTGGTGCTGTTACTACTAAATTACTATTAGTGCTAAATTATAAATGCTGGGTTTCAAGCTGATTTTCTGAAGAAAGTCAGACTGAT